CCATGCGAAATGATATCACACCGTTGGTATATACTTTCCATGACTTACGGAACAGCAACTAAACCTAGCGGGTCACCAAATAACGGAAACGCAACGAGCAGCTTAGTCACTTGACACACTGTCAAAGTTACCCCGTTATCTGGGACTTGCGTGCAAGGTCCGATCTCGTCTTGTGTCCTCTGTAGGCCGCCTGGATGCACACCGCGTGCCTCTCACGGGTTTCTGAACGCGCTCTGTGTCCAACTTGGTTCTCCCCCCTTCCGCCACTGGTGCCTTCGCTGAGAGGCGATGACTCATCGATGTCGTGAGGCGTCTCGTCCTCCCAACGGCACAGAGCATGCGGCTCCGCCGAGCCAGCAATCTGCACCTATGGAGGAGAATGTGAAAACGCGATAGGACTTGTTCCCGTTGATGGCACAAGTGAAACATGGCATGGGCATGAAAGGGTTTGTGCAACATCTGTGCCCTTCACTTGTTCCGGCTCCCAGCAACGCAGTCCAATGCGCAAAAAGGAGCCCTTCAATTTGGGTTTCATATACAGAGCAGCAATGTATAGGTTGTGGCGGTCGCGGCGGTGTTGGGAAAAAGTTGCCTGTTGTGGATTTCGTCCGAATACCTGAAAACGACAACAGAAAACTTGCATGGGCCACTCCTAGGCTGATCGAATGTTTAAGAGACACATGCCAAATTTAATATAGTCATTGCATTGACATTTGCTCAAATAATGCTGATGAACTCAATGTGTGATGATTGAGTACATGAAACTTCTCGGCAACACGTCGATCCGGCATCAAGTGCTTTATGTGGCGCGTTACACAATATCTTCCCCCAAAACCATGGCGAGACGGCGCTGCCTTCCTTTTCCTCCGAATGGCACATTCGCACCCACCTCGCCACTTGGGGATGTCCCCAGAGAAGTGTCCTCGCTTGCTCCATCGTAGCGGCCCGCGGAGCTACGTCCCGGTGTTTCTGACAACGAGGGAAGATGGCCAGGCGCAACCAGCACCTGCGCCTGGAAGATCGAAGATGAAAGACTACTGAACAAAATTCTGGCAATTCTGCAGCCAGAACACCCCACTGGTAAAGCATTTTTTTATGTCGTCTGTCTTCTAATTGTTTCTGAGTTTTCTTGTTCTTGTACCATTTGAAATGAGACCGGTTTTTGTTGTTTTAGATGTTTCACATGTTTTACCAGTAGCTGCGACATATCTGTAGGAAAGGGTGTGGGCGATCATCAGCACGGAGCACAAGGCTTGTGCTCCATTGTGCTTAGCACCATTGACGGCAAACATTGATGCGATGAGCCACAGTTTTCGCCACTCCAAAATGCATCGCGTAATGTGCAAATTTCTCATGGAAAGTGAAGGATTGCAAACCATGGATTGAAATGCACTTAGGAATGTGCGGGAAGCCTCTCCGCCTGGAATAATGTTGCCTACATGAAATTTCTGGTGCCTGTCCCAACAGCACCCGAGGCATTTATGGCATCATGAAGACACGAACGGCACACTGTAAGCTTATCTGACATTGGAAATTAACGGCCATACAGTTTTATCTCGTTCCTACACGTAACAGCGAAGAAGGACTTGGGAACCGCGGACACCATTGCCAGTCCCTGCTTCCCTCAAGGGACGGAATCTGTAGAAGAATGCCACCAAAGCCCAGCTGCCATCATGCAATCTTGTATGCGCCTTATGGCCATCTAATCCAATGCATTTGGCACTGCCAACACGTGATTTACGGCATTCAAACTTTTGAGGGACAGTTCTAGGGAGTTTGCCAACTTGGGAAATGGGGTCAACTTTTCCCGGAAGAGAAGCGCACCCGCTGGTCGCAAGGATCCCTCACTGGCGAGCTGGAAGCGCTTACAGAAGGCCCCCTGAAGCCCTTTCTGACGCGGTAGCCCCTGTAGTGCGCCTGGATCGTGGCGGCCCGGGCGTTGAGCTCCTCCTCGACGCCTCCGGGGAACCTGCCGCCTCTGATCCCCCGCAGTGGGCCCAGTTTCCCGGGGCGGCCTGGAGCTGCGCCGAGCCGCCGCTGATCCAGCTGCATGAGCTGCAATCCTGTTGACCCTTCCGGATCATGCAGAACCCCATGGGCCTCGGGCCGCGAAACGGCAGATTCAGCTCCCAGCGCAGTATCCGACGCTTTGCGTCCCGAGATCCTGCGGCGGGCCTTGTGCCTATGGGTCTCCAGGCTGTCAGTTGGGGGGAACTGTGCAGGTGGGGCCAAAGCCCCCGAGTTTCTGAGGCCCTTCCGTACCCGGTGGCCTCTGAAATGCGACTGGATGATCGCGGCGCGCTTGTGGAGCGAGTCAGGCTCGTCGCGCGCGTGCTTGGAAAAGGAGCTGTCGAAAACGCAGGCGACGGAGTCAGACCATCGAACACCTGAATTTTCTGTTCATGCAATTGATTCCACACACTAGGAAAAAAAGGGCCAAATAACACGTGTTCAAACGTGTACAAAGTTTACGGGTTTGTGTTACTTTGGTGTTCTTAGCATGCAGAACTTTGATAAAATGTGTTTTATGTGTGTTCGCAAAAGCGTTATTTGGCCCTTTTTTTCCTAGTGACAGTTTTGAGAACCTGTGGTGCATCCATTCCACGCCGGTCCAACCGCGTGGGAGATGCAACGGTCAGGGCTTTCGATGCAGCTTTGAGCGAATGAATTGCCGTCTGCTGTCACTGGTCCCGACATTTACAAGAAATTGTACCCTGCATGCATGGATGCAATCATGCGTTGTTTTAGTTTCAATTCCATGTGAGATTTTATCTAAACTCTAAGCACTGCTGACGTCTAGATTTTAATTAAAAAATCACCACTGCATTTAGTGGAGCCGAAACCCAAGGATATGTCTGAATACACTCGTGCAATGCCCAATTCTGTGGATGATTTGTCCATTGACGTTTGGCGTAACATTACGGATTCAATTGACCAAATTCAAAACCCTTCAATTTTGTGTCTTTGGCGAGTTTGTGACGGACTGATGGTCAAACCATGCCATATTATGTGATGCGACCACATAATCATGGGTTAATCATGGCGGGGCCCAGTGTAAATGGCTTAGGTTGCTTTGGAAAACGCTGCTGTGAAAGTTCACTGTTTTTGCAGCCTTCACTCTGAATGATGGGATATTCTTTTACTCCTTCTTTGTTTGGCATGTTCCAGAAGACGGGGCTCAGCAGCGAGGCTGCTGTATGGTGCGACCTCGCGCGAGGTCTCGTCTCTCCGATGGTACGCACCCATTATGGGATGGCTCCTCCTCGTTGATTGGCTGGCCCTGCGGCAGCAACTGACATCACACCGTCACTCCAAACTATATTAGGACTTTGAAAATATCACATGCCAGGGAAAATGTTTGCTCTGTACTTGATGGCGCCATTGTTGAACGACTCCTGCCCACCGGGCGCCCTCGCTTTGAGTGCAAGGATAGCCTTCTAATTGACCCACATCGCGAGACCCATCGCAGCATTAACAACGCGAAGCTACACTGACAGCTATGAAATGGAAATTTTAAACTGTACATAGAATACTGACTGTAGCATAGCAATAAACCAATGAATTTATTGGTTGATAATGATGTAGCGGTTATGTGCTACGTTGATACGGGAACTGCAACCCCTGTTGCTATTGGAGTGACTTCCCCAGTGGAGGGCTCTTCTGCATTGCCTATGTCTATTTCTGATGCAAACTGACGGCTGGACGTACCTGTGGGACAATTTACCGCTCCTGATTCTCAAATCCGACATGGGATGCGAATGCTTTTTGTGGTTACGCATTCCAGCCCATGAAATTCAATTCAGAGCATGCGTAGGCACCCTTGCCGCGATAGCCGCTCTTCTCTCGAAAATATGCTGCGAATTACCATTCAATCAAGTCTCATTCAAATCAAACTCTCATTCAAGTCACACCGTTTGGCCCCCTTTCGCCACTTCCAAAGACCACATACCCAAACTGCGCGAAATTGGCACACGCTCAGGCGCGAGCGCCAGGGGCACCAGCGGCGCTCCCACCTGCAGGGATCCCTGGATCGACCGCTGCAAGACCGGCGTCTTGCAGTCGCTGTAGTCGCTCATGCCCCGCCGCGCCCGCCCTCCGCCCTGTCCCGCGACGTCGACCTCCGCGTCTCACCTCCCCAGCGAGAATGTCAGCGCGGGGGCCCAACGGTCCCCCGCGCACGTCGAAAACCCGGCTGAAGCCTTCAGCCGTTCCTTAAGAGGCGCAAGGCGTCCACAGAAAGGCGTTCCGTGCCCTTGGCGCTGGGCTGCAAGGCGTCAACGCGGGGGCGACGACGCCAGAGGTGTCGGCGCCCGAGGCTTGCCGCTTGAAACACAGGAGGGGGGGGCTGAGGCGGGGAGTGCGCGTCGTGAGGACAACTGTGACACCAACGGCGGTTGGGGAGCGAAGACCAGCAGTTTCTGGCACGCGGGAGTGCCAGAAACTGGGGTGTTGGGGGCGTTTCCCTCATTCCGATCGTTACGGAACGTTTTCTGCATGGACTTGATGGATCTCGAATTAAAAAATTTTGCGCTAAATTGTGTGCTCGGCTTGGGGGATCAGGCGAGTGAGCTCCGCTGCCGCCCTCTGCGCCCGGGCCTGCGTCCTCCAGCTTTTTTTCTGGGCCGGGCCACCGGCCACGGTCCCAAAAAGGATGGCCTCCACCCGATTTTTGACATTTTTTATTCCCCTTCGTTCCCAGCATTTCTTGGCCAGGGCGCCTCTTGGCGCCCGCGCCTGACCGCCTGAGCGCACCCGGGTGGGGCGGCCGACCCGGGCAGCGCCAGCCGCGTCGAGGGCCTCCGCGCCCCTCGCAGCAATCCCGAAGTCGCCGATCAGGGTTGGCAGTCCCAGGCGTAGCTACCCCCCACGAAGGCCCGCACCTTTCACCTTTTCGGCGATTCGGTCCGTCCGCCCTCGACCCCGCCGCGAATCCCTCGCGCGAGTTTGAGGAAGGGGGGTGCGCCGATCGCGGGGCGTGGGCGCTTCCTTCGCGGTCGGGGATGGCGCCCCGCAGGAGGCGGCAGCAGGGCAAGCGGCCGGGGGGGTCGCTTGGCTGGGAGGAGCGGCTGAGGGTGCAGAGGGACGCCGAGACGGTGCAGAGCGTGGAGGCGCTGCTCGCGGCACCGGAGGTGCGGATGGTCGATCGTGATCGGATCTTTTCGGACGAGCCCTGGGGTGGGAGCCCCGTGCTTGCGCTGGAGCCATCGTCGCGGAGGTGGTGCTGTTGGTGGGTCGAGCGGGTTTTGAAAGGGTTTTGGCATGCGTCGTCCGCGATGGACGCGGCCCCAGCCTCGTCCTCTTGGCGCGCGGGAACGTGCGTTAGATGAGGGCTGGGCTGTTGTATTGTGGGGTTGTGATGGTGGATGACCGCCGCGATGGCAGGCGCCCAGGATTGGCTTGGGATGCAGGCGTGCAAGGGACCCTTCCGTTGTTCGTTCGGAGGCATCCACAAACTTCTCGACAAACCGCTTGATGCCAGGAAGGAGTGCCTGACAAACAAATTTTGAATGGTTTACCTATCAGATGACTTGTTTTCTTGTCGTTGCCAGAATTTTGACACAAGGGGTGATTCGGAATGCTGCTGTGCCTCCAGCTGTGTACACAGCCACCATTTGCCGCCGCTTGGCGCGCTCTGTTTTCTGGCTAGGCGCGCCGCACAATGGATGAATATGCCGTTTGTGGTATAACGGGGATGTTGACAGACCACAACAAACTGTGGCACTCTCAGTATGCTCAGTTCAGCATTCATCCTTTTGCAAGGCAATTGTGACCAACTAAAAGCCAACACAAGCTGCCAGAAACAGCTTTTATGATCACTGCTGAATCATGTAGGGAGAAGATCCAGTGTGACAAGGAGGAAAGCATGGCATATGATGGATACCCTGCTTAAGCAGAAATGCCTCTCCAGGTTGTAGCAGAGGGGGCCCATTGTGCATTACTTTTCTCCGCGTCTCAGCGCCTGTGCGACAGAGTTCCTGTAGGGATCTCAGCAGAGCTGAAAATCTTGCTTCTTGAAAGCAACAACCATCATGTATGCATTCCTAGCTTTTGTTCGGTCCCCATATTGACGCTTGTTGTGTTTCAACTTCCCCAGCTCGACGTGACACAGCTCAGGAAGATTGCTGCTGCCCGAGGGCTGGCGAACAACAGGCTGCGAGCAAGGGTGTGGCCCCTGCTCCTGGGTATAGACATCGATGCCTTCTCGTACGATCAGTATGACGAGCTGGCACGGATGGACCACGCCGACACCCCCACGTTGAAAGCAGACATCGCCCGCTCCTTGTGGAGCTTTACAGATGGGTGGAGCGACGAGGCCCGGCAGGAAAAGAGGGATGCCCTGATGCGGCTTCTCAATGCCGTAGTCAACTACAGTGCTGGTGAGAAAGCACCTGAGCTTGGCACATTATTGTGCAGCTTTGTAGCTGTTTTGGCCAGAAGTTGCTCCTGCACAGGGACCAAGATATGGCACCTCTGGAGGGGTCGTGATCGTCAAGATGATTAGGAGAAATGGACTGGACTATTGGCCTATCACTCTCGCGCAGCGTGTCTGAGACGTGTGTCACCACACAGGTAGCTGCAGAATCTCTGTTCGCAAGAGAACATGCAGCAGAAGTTGGGTGGTGGGGAGCTTGCCATGTGTTGGCCATTTGTTTCTTGCAGTTGTTGAGTGGTGGCTCCGTATGAAGAAAAGGGCAGCATCCCCAAGACTTTTGCATGGTCTTTGCAGCATAGACTGGTGCATCAAAATGCGGCTGAGAAGGGGATGCCTGTTCATGGGCACGTTTGGAATATCTTAAGAAGCATTAATTAGGAACCTGGCGAGAGCTCAAACATGGCCTTTCATATATCTACAGCTCTGAATCCAATGTTGTAGCCTACAGAAAATGGAATGCCAGATTTGCACAGTGCATAGCTGTGCCCCTGCCAGCTGTCATTCTATTGGTGCACATCCAGCTGCTCCCAAGTCCACCTGGCCACCCAAAAAAGCTTTGAACAGTTGTGACAAGCTCAGCAACTGCGGGTTTGTGCTCCCAGGTGACGTGCGCTACTACCAGGGCCTGCACGACATCGCCTCTGTCCTGCTGCTGACAGTTGGGGAGCGCCTGGCCTTCCCGCTCCTACACCGGCTCTCCACCTCCCACTTGCGAGACTGCACCCGCCCCACCCTCGAGCCTGTTGCTGAGCTCCTGCAGCTGCAGGTGCCCATCCTGGACATGGCCGATCGCCAACTGGCCCGACTGCTGGAGGGCATGCAGCTGCCTTGCTACTTCGCCCTCAGCTGGTACATCACCTGGTTCTCGCACGACGTGAGGAGCCTAGGGGAGCTTGCACGGCTGTTTGACTTGTTTCTGTCAGCCCACCCCATGATGCCGCTGTATGTGGGGGCAGCCTGCATGGCGGCTGCCAGGGAGGAGCTCATATGTGTGGAAGACGTGTCGCTCATGCACCAGGCGCTGGTGAACCTGAGGGTGGGGAAGTACATGACGACCGACGAGCTCATAAGACGGGTGGGTGGAGCCGTGCTTCTTGTTGTGCAAATGGGATGTGGGTTGTTTGTGCACAGTGATGGTCTCTGCCTGGCTCAGAGCCCAATGTGGCCTGGTTTGGGATCTAGGATGAGGTAGAGGAGTGCCACAGCGCAATATAGGGAGTTTTTTTCTGCACCCTTGCACTGGGCAGGTATCCTACAGAACGAGCATCAAGTTGGATGCAAACATACATTTGAGGCCCAAGGGAACGCAGTACGTAGCATGGCAGTCATGGATGGGAATCGAGGTACAGGATTCCTTGTTGTCACAGCTCTACAAACTGGCTTCTGAGAGTTACCTGCCAGAATTATGTCCCCAATTTGAGATGTGAATGTTGATGCCTGAGCCAGTCCACAAGGTACCAAAACCGGACTGGGAAATGTTCAGACAGGCGTGCAGCTGTTGTGCAAAAATTGGTCCTTGATTGCCACTCTTGGCACTTGTAGCGTTGGTGATTTAGAATGCAGTCTACATTGGTTTTGGATGACCACGTTGCCACTGTCAGCTGCAGAATTGCGGCTCACTCCTCTGAGCAACAACCAGGGCTGTTGGCCTTTTCCTCTTTGAGACGTCAGGTGGACAGTGCTAGCCCCTCTTCAGAGATGAAATTCCACACTTTATGCATGTTGGATTTTACCAGAACGGGAGACAGAATGCAGTTGGGTGTTGAGCCTCCATGAATTCTGAGTGGCTGCTGGCCAGCACCCACTCTCTGTAATTGCGCTCACTCAATTGTGCTTCGTTGCCAGGCGTTGGCGCTATATGCCAAAGCCCGTCCAAAACAGGTGCTGAGGCGACGGGGCCTCCGCCCGCAGTTCACCACTGCCCCCGACGCATTCAAGAAGGGAGGTTGTTGGGAGGTGCCAGAAGCCCCTCTGCCGCGGCCGAACGGGATACCCTTACGCACGCTCAACTGGGGCAAGTGGTGCCTCAAGGGCATGGGGGGCCTGGTGCCAGGGGGTGTGAAGGTGTATGCAGCTCTGTCCCTCTCGGGCCTCGTTGTTCTGTCAGCTTACTTTGTGACAAGGATCATGGATCACCAGATGAGCGAGCTCCAGGAACAGGCATGGGATGACATGTTTGTAAGCAATTAGCAGGAATCCATTTTGATTGCATGCATTAAGCCCTGACACACTGTCCAGTTGGTGACAACTTGAGCTGTGGCCAGCTAATATTCTTTTGATGCCACAGCTTCGGACATTTGTGGGAGGGCCTAGCTGTGTTGGAGCTGATGGGACCAGCAGTTGCTGGCCCATGTCCTGCATTCACCAAAGAAGGAGGCACGACTAGAGGGAGGTCTGTGAGTAGCCAGCTTGGGTTGCGTATGGTGTGCCGGCAGCTGGGTCCTGGGGAGCATGGCATGAAGTCGAAAAGAACTGTTAGTGGATGTCATCATTCTTTGCCTCTAGTGTGGCGTCAGGAATTCATAATTGTTGCACAACTGTTGAAGGGGGAAAGGGGTGGTCTGTGGTGCAATGCAGCAGCAGGAACCCCTGGCGCAGCATGGAGAAACAAGCTCGCAGAATAAATGATTTGCTGGAAAGCTTGCTGGTGGTGGTAGTGGAAGATTGCAGTGTGGATTGGGGCACCATGTACCATTGACTTGGGGCAAGGGTAGATAGTTGATCGCACAGGTTGCTGGTCGGTATGCTCGTAGCAGGACATTCAAGAAAAATTGTAACCAGAATTAGTGCTTGCAGAACACAACAATGAGACAACTTGTGCTCACAATGCAGACAGGAACATGTTGCTGTGCGTGTCAATTGCTTTAACTTTGCATGTGCCATCACTGCTCTGTTTGGCTTTGGTGTTCTTTTGTTGCCCCTTCCATCCTTGCCCCAGTGCAGCCAGGATCACTCTCAGGCTTCCTAATCCAGCCCTCGATTGGAGACAGAGGTTTCAGCAGTGCCAACCATTGCTCCTGCTGGGGATCGCAGTGCCTGCCATATCTGTCACCCATTGTGGCTGCACCTTTCGTCCGAAGCTGCCCAATACGCTCTGAAAGCACGGCTCGGCAGATTCTAGACGTGGACTTGGACGAGCGCGCCGCTGTCTTGTGCGTCATGCCAGCCTTCCTGCCTGTCACGCCAAGTGTCACCTCGTGAACGCAGCCTGCCACTTTAAAGGAGTAGCCCGCACAACCATTGGGGACTCTGCTGTTTTGCAGAGTGGTTGTCGCTGGCTGACTTGAATCAGCCCCCGGGGACATATCTGATGATCTGTTGGAGGTGGCAAGGGGATTCATGCAGGTAGTGCTGTCAGCATGGTGCTCTCCACCATAGGCATGTGGTACAGGCCTTTCGCTTGGCACATGGTGGACAGATGGAGAGGTGGGCGGGGTTAAAGTTTGATCAGCGGTTGAGGAAGGCACAAGGCGGGTCTCTGCGGACCAGTTGATGGCAAATCCGCTGGGCACCCTTCTCTCGTCGATGGCCGCAAAGGGAAGATCGGTGGGCAGCGGGGCAACGACAAAGACGGACGGCGGCGACCACCTGCGGCAACAGAGACATCGCTCACCACTGGTCCGATCGCAGGCCTCGCAAGTGTCTGCGCAGCAGAAGAGAAAGTCAAATGGCCAAATCACAACGGCCGCCTGGGGCAACCCGAATCCGCTATCTTGGGAACGGAACAGCAGATGTGGAATGTACCCGCTGCAGGAACGTGAAAGAACGAAACAAGGGCCAAGGCACGCGTCTCTACTGAGTTCCGACAGTCGGACAGCAGCAGTTTTCTAAACGATCCACAAGGGGCTCGCGTTGCTTGGCATGAGTGCACCCCATAGCCTAGTCCTCTGTGGTCACAAACTCCGCTCAGCACAACAATTTTTTCAGACCCTTCGGCTGCAACACCGACGCCATTTCGCTCGGCCAGGAGACCCACCTGAAGGGCGGCCGTAGCCTCGGCGCCAGCGTCTGGACGCGGCCCACCAGCGCCCTGGCCAGCGCCTCCCTTCCCGCCTCCATCTCCGCCGCCGATCCCGCTCCCTGCGGCATCGCCACCACCACGCTGCTCAGCGTCAGCGGCGCCCTGAGGATCCCCATCATCCCCTTCTTCTGCAGTCCCACCAGGCCCCACCGCGCCATCTTGTCGCTGCAGCTCATGGACAGCGTCCGGTCCCCCCGGCCCGGCTTTCTGCGCAGCACGCCCGTCGCCTGTGGCCCCGCCGCGTCCTCCACGTCCGCCGCGGCGGGCACCAGCCTCAGCAGCGCCTCCAGACTACCCCGGCCCCTGCTAACCTCATCAAACGACGCGCCGATCACCTTGGCCCCCGTGCGCGAGTAGCGCCCCTCCCGGGTCCCTTCCATTCCTTCATTCACGGTTTGGCTGCCTGCCAAACCGTCCACCTCTTTGCCTCCTCCGTCCCACCCCCCTGTAGTTGGATCCAGCGCAAAGATGCTGGCGTCCCCGCACGGCGGCTGGCTGACAAACATGTGGAACCGGACGCCCTCCCTCAGATCAAATTTACCCGTCGACGCGTCGTACAGGAAGGCGCCGGTCTCCGTGCCCCTCCCTGGGGGCCCGTCCCCGCCCTCGGCGCCATCTGTTGCCCTGGGCGATGCCCTCTCCATCTCGTCCAGCACCCAGCACAAGAACGCCCGCCGCGCCACCACCTCCGCGTGTGCGTCGCCCACAGCTTCTGCACAGCGCCTGCTCGCCGCCAGGCACTTGGTGCCTGTGCCCAGCGCCACGGCCAGGGGGCGGCGGCCGATCCCCGAGCCCGGGCCCCAGGGACCAGTCGTCACGCAGATGCCGGCCAGGATCGTGGCCTCGTGCGCCTGCGGCTTGCCTGTCTTAGGCAGACGACGGAACCGGCCGGTGACGGACTCGGCCACCGCCAAGGCAAAGGCATGATCACAATCGGCGCTGATCGCATTGGCCGATGCGCCGACAAGGGGAGCAATGTCCGGCAGGGCGGAGGCGCCCGTGCGGCGTCTCTTGGAAGGGGGATCCGCCTCCGGGGAGGCGAGAGGCGCATCTGAGTGCTCGGGGGCGCGTGCGGGGTCCATCCAAGCCTATGGTGGATTTGGCTGGACGCTGGAAGCCCAGGGCGGCGACGAAATAATATTACTGCCTGCACCAAATCGGTGACTGCTTGCACAACCAAATCACGTGCACACTGTGTCCTAACCTCAGTTTAGGGTTATGTTTAGTTTTAGGGTGAGTTTTAGGGTTAGGGTTAGGGCAGGATTGCTTTTAGGTTTTAGGTTTTAGGTTCGGTAAGTTTTGGAGGGAGTAGGTGCAAGCAATCACCGATTTCGTGCAGAAAGTCACCGATTTGGTGCAGCCAATAATTGTATGCCGGCGGCGACAGTGCCCACGAAGACCTAGGTGCTGGACCCATATTGTTCTTCCCTGCTCCCAAGGTGCCCAAACACCTTGGGTTTCAAAATTGCTCCCAAGAGGTTTGAAAAAATATCAAAGGGGCATGATGCGGTGAAGTCACGCATCCCAGGCGCGAGCATTCGCGTATTGCTCACGCACCTCGCTATGGATGACGCCGGCTGCCAGCTCTGAAATGCAAAATCAGACAAACCGTGCATCTCACGCCGCAGCCATTGAGAAATATTGGGATCGGCCAGCGGCTGGCACGAGAGTTTTTTTTTACACGGGTTACCGGGTTGCCGTTGCAGCTGTTACGGATGTTCGTGATGCTGTTTTCTTTCTCACTCCAGCAGCTGGTCTTCAGTATGCCAGGCAGCGAACGAACATTCTGAACAATGCTAGGGTGGAGCCTAAGCTCGTCATCTCCTGGAACGGGCAAGGGTTGTGTGCTTGTCGTGTGTGGACAACTGTAATACAAGGGGCCCACTGCACGCACCGCCCCACATTGCCATGGAAGTCAAACAGCCAGGAATTACACGCATGGAAGCACCTCCAAGTGGAGGAGGCCGCGCACAAATGCATTACATTAAGTCGCCTGGAACCAGCCAGGAAATATGCGCACGACAACACTGCGCACAAATGCGTCACATTAAATCGAGTGGAAACAGCCTGGAATTATGCGCACAGCAACATTGCGCACAAATGCAGTACGTTAAATTGAGTGGAATGAGCAACACTGCTATGGTACAACTTCGTGTGCTCCCTAAAACTTGGAGCGTGATCATTTTTGGACGAGCTGCGACTGGCTCGCCGGTGCACCGACGATGCACGCCCGGCGCCCGCATTAATTTAGCACGACCCCCGGATTGAGAGTTTGTTCAGATTGGCGCCCCGCACTTATTTTCGCCAAGGGAGGCGCGAACCAGGCGCTTAAGCTTGCAGCCCACCATCCAACCCTCCCTCCCCATCTCGGCGCGCAACTCACATTCCAGCGTCGCTGATCGCGCGGCACCAGTCCGAGTTCACCATGCGCGCCGTCAGCCGCTGGGCCCGGGAGTCCAGACCCCCCGGGCGCCAGGGCGAGCACGCCGGCCTGAACTGGCCGCAGGTGTGGCCCGCGATCAGCCGGATCAGCTCGTCCGGCAGGCCCTTGCCCCAGGGGTCGTCCCGGAGGTAGGGCTGCGTCCTGAGCATGTCCCCAACAAGTCCCTCCCCCTCCTTTATTGCCCGGCCGCCGGCTCCGCCGCCCGCGGCCGAGGCGCTAACTTCATGGAATAAAATCTTCCAGAGCTGCTCGTTCTCGCAAAATTGCTCCGTGATCGTCCTGCCGTACCGTCTCCACACGCCCCGGAGGTGGTCGGCGGAGGGCGCCCCGCCGATCGAGTCAATGCCGGCCTTCAGGTGGGCCCTGAACGCGCGCACCATGGCCGCCCGCGCCCACTCCGCGCCGCGGAACACCCTGTAGATGGGTGGGAAGCCCGCTGGGCCCCCGGGCCCGTCCAGCGCCCGCGCCAGCGCGACCTCCAGCCGCGGCAGCAGGGCGTCCCTCTGGCCGTCGATCAGCTGCCGCCGCGCCAGGGCCTCGATCCCCTCGCCGGGCCTGGCCTCCTGCCTGCAGCCCATCCCCGCCCACCGCCGTCTCTCCGCGTCGATCGCGCCCTCCACGGCCGCCGCGTAGGCCGCCAGGTCCAGCGACCGGGCCCCCTTCTCGGCGACCTCCGCGAAGTGCCGCCGGGCATCCCCCAGCGCCGGCTCCTCGAACGTGGCGTGGTACGCACCCACGTCCCTGAGCATGCCGTTGACGCTCTTCACGAGCGCCAGACCCTCGAAGGGACCATCCCTGCTCTCCGCCACCGCCTCCACCAGCGCCGCAGCCAACCGGCTGTCCACCACCCGCGAAGCCCAGAGACCGAACTCTCGCTCGCAGGGCGGCTGACTAAACCCCAGGGTTCTCAGCACCCCCTGCATCGCCACGCAGGCGCCCCGGTATCTCTCCCACGCGCCCGCCACCCCCTCCAGCAGCGACGTGCCCCGAAGCCGGCCCAGCCCGCCTGTTACGTCATCCAGGTGTGATGCCAGCAGGTCGTCCAATTTCGCGCCCAGCCTCTGGAGGTACGCACCCGGCCTGGTCACACCGGGAGGCGGGTCCCCGGCGGCACGCAGCGCGCAGGCCGCCCTGCGGGCCTCCAGCACGGCCGGGTGGGGCTCGCTGGGGCGATCGACCGCCAACACCGCCCTGTAGCCGCCCGCCACAGCCTCCCATGTCTCTCTCTCGAGCTCCTCGGAGTAGCCGACGGCGGGCTGGTGCAGCATGGCCAGCAGGTCTTCAAGGATCAGCGCGGGTGCGCCGGGAGTGGAGGTGCCCCAGCGGAGGCTGGAGTCGAAGGGGTTGATGCAGGAGATCATGGCGGGGCCGCCCGCTCGGGGCCCGGGCCCGGCGGCGGGCCAAGCCGCTCCTTCTCGGCGCCGGTGCCGTCACCTGACCGACGATCTTCCGCCTGGACACACGCGAGGCGGCGGGTCGAATACTTCCGCGGCATCGCTTCCCTCGCCTGAGCGCGGCGGAGGCGCGCCGCGCAGATCGGGAGCGGGGCATGCGCCGGGCGACATGCCGCGCGACGGCCGCACCGGGGCGATGCCCGACTCGCGGGGCGATCGGCCAGCGCGGCTGCGGTTGGGGGGTGGCGGGACGTGGCTTTAATACGGCTTCGGGCGTCGGCCGCGCCGTCAGACGGGCGCCCCGGGCCCACTCGTCGCCGGCGGGTGTCAAAAAATGGCCCCGCCGGGGGCCGCAGGGGGGGAGGGGCCGTACCGCGATGTGAGGTCTCCGGATTCAGTCTTGCCGCCCCCGCGGCATTGTCTCCCCGCCGCAGGCCGCGCTGGAGTGGCTCGCCGCGGAGCCCCCCGCCAGCAGCGGCAGGAGGCAGGACAGGGGCGGGGGCAACCTCCTCATGGTTACGAAGGAAGTAGCCCGTGGCGCCGCTGACAGGTGTGACTATTCGCCCGGCTTTGACGGGACTCTGGGTGGCCACGAGAGGCATGTGCACAGCCCGGAATCGGGCAGATCACACGTGTGGCCGCGTGGGGGACGAGGGGGGGGTGATTGTGCGAAGTTCCATGTCGGACGCCCTACTCCCGGGGGGGCTCCCAGTCCGTCCGCCCCGGGCGCCGAGGCGTGCAGGCCGGTGCGCAGAAGCCGATTGAAGGACCCTGAAGGGACAGCTCCGCCCACTACCGCGAAAGTACTGCCCGCCGCACTGGACGCTTCTCAACAGTCACGGCGACCGCCATGCGGTCCAAGATCACGAGCTGGAGCGCCAGGGCTTGGAGTTTGCGACGTGCGCCCCTCTGGACTGCGAGGTGGCTCCGAGGCCACGCACGCAGTTGCAGCCAACAGCGTTTGTGTGATGCCCGTTGGTGGATTCGCCACAAACTCCTGGCCCCTGGGGCAGTGGGGACCAGGGTCACGGCACGGGTATCGACTCTTGTCTGTCGATATGGGGCCAGGAGTTCTCGGGCGACCCACGGCGATAACATATTAGGCCCTCCGTCTTTCCCGTGATGATCCCTTCTTCCTCCGCTGACAAGGCCAACACGGGTCAGTGGGTCAGTGGTTTAGGGTGTCGAAACAAGAAGGGGCCTTCACGAAAAAGACAGAGCGCCTAATTTCATGCTACCCACGGCGGTGGCCAAGTAACCCCTCCCTTGGCCGCTGCGTCTCCTACTTGCGATGGCACTATTGTCAAACCCACCAGTGTCCCCACCATTGCTCCCCGCAAGCGTTCATTCAAACAACTTTTTGCTCAACCGTTTGCTGCTGGGCCACCGACAACGCCATGAGCTGCCTGCAAGCGCAATCTAATGTTCTGGAAGGCACGCATTTTGGGCGCGAGCAGTGAAGGCAGACTAGAGAATTCCTCGACTGTTGCTGCCGTCAGGCACAAATCGAAACTCTCCATGACCTGGTTGGCTTCGCAACACGAGCCGCTATGCGCCTAGAGAGTTGCCAACATTCGACTCGGTGCACTGATGGTGTATGAAGGGAGCCCAAGAGCTTAATTGATCGATTTAGTGGGCGCTCTTGGAAAAAAACACGCCCCTAGCATACGATATGCAGTCGATCTTCGTCGACAATTCCGAAGGAATGCAAAATCAGCGATTTCAATGTGCCATATGGTTGGGACCGCCATTGCAAGCCCTTTGGGAACAGTATGCGGTGTTTGATGCGGTCGTTTGCGTGCACTCTGGAAATTTTTCTATCATGCTGTCGCCGCATCTTGTGCACAATTGCAGCTATATACAGCAGTCCCAAATCCGTCAAAAAATGAACAATAAGTATCCCATTGGTAACCACGGGCACAGCAGCACTGTCCATCCAACAGTGGCGAATCTACTTTGTTTTACACAGCTACGCTATTCAGCATATGGCCGCATATGCCAGGGTATATGCTCCAATAGCAGATGTCCCATGTTCCCAACAAGCACGTCCTTCGCGTTCAGACTGCTCCGAACCATCGCCAGCGTCCCGTCCATCGCAACGAATCCCCAGACGACGTCATACCGAGGCCGCTTGACATTTGAGTTCGCATACGCTGAATTCCATATACGCAAACGGTGGCCATACCTGAGCAAGGCGAAGTGGGGATGCCAAAACCATTGCAGAGCTCCTGCCAACCACTGAGATCTTTACGTGACGATCAGCACATGATCTGATAGGAACGTCGAACGCTCGCTGCTCTTCCCCTTCGTGCATCATCGTTCGTTTGAGTGCTTGTCCCCCCGCTTGACGAGATTAGTCACCCCTTGATGACAGCAATGGGGCGAAGCTTCACGGCCTTTTTCGATATGCCCACCGCCGTGCAAGTGTCTACAACTTGCGTCACGTCCTTGTATGACTCGGGGGCCTCTTCCATCACAAGTTTGGGGCTCGCCACACGAATGGAGATGCCCTTGAATTTCAGAGCGTCCAGAACGTCCTGGTAGTTGAGGTTCTTGCGGGAGCTGTTGCGACTTCGGGAACGACCTGCACGGCAGCACCCTGAATCTCGGCACCAGATGGGCCTCTTCTTTCCGCAGATTGATCCACACGTCGCACATGTCATTTCAGGCACGCGGGCAAATCCCTCCACCGCGAGGCTGAATTCAGCCCCGAGGATCGCTTGCCCATCCTGTCGCAGCTCACTTCTCTAATGACGTAATCGCGGCCCAATCCGTTGCGGCACGAAGCGAGCCCCCCTGCTGCCAATTCCCTTCTCTCTGGGCTGCGATCGGTGCCATCAGATTAGCTCCTGGAAAGGCAGGTCAATGTTGACTGTACTTGGCCGGCGCTTGGGGGCAGTTGCATGTCGGGTGGCGGCGCACCGAACCATGCGTGTCAAGTCGCCAGTGGCAACTCTCTTACCAATATGTCTTTGATGTTTCCGAGCGTCAATTTACTCCGCGCAAGTTTGTTGCATCTTGGCCACTCGTTGGGGCCCGGGTCACTTGTTTGCAAACGTCGCCCGAGGTCTATCGACACGTGAAAGGGCTCTGCGTCGCCCCGCTCTGACAAACAAGACCCTTTCGGCACATCGGGCACTAAAAGCAGTACCGAGCAGTTTGGACATGCGTGCCCTTCGCCAAAAAGGGAGATTTGCTTTTTAGCCAATCGCCTGTTGATTATTGCTATAATCATTAACAGTTGAGGAATTACGACAACACTCGTTGGGAATAAGAAGAAAACGACACCCCCAGGATCGAGCGCGTCCTTACCGGCCCCATGGCATGTGCTCCCAAACGTCTCCCTGAAGCCCCTCTCAGTGCCGGTCAGCACGTAACTGCATGTGCCCATTGTCCCGCCGATGAGCACAGGCTGACCCGTGAATTGGTAGTCTACAGGAATCAGCGGGTGGTGCGGCGGGAAGGCTCTGGTTGAGCCCTTTCTGTGAACGAGGAGCTTCATCAATTGCCCATCCACCATATGCTCCTCGACCTGACGCACACACAGGAAAGGGTTCTCCATCCACCTTCTCATTGGCACAAAATTGCACAGCCACGCCATTCCGATCCGTGGTTTAGATTGCGAGCTAGTTGTCACTTTGTTATGACGTGTGCCTCGCACAAGATCATGCCCCCCACTTACCGCCACCCCAAGCCCAACCGCCAGTGTGCGCATTCACAACACTGCAGAACGTGCCGAAGGACCCAACGAACACTAGCTGGGAGGCCGTGCCTCAGTCCATGGCATGTTCTCTAGATCCCAAACAAACATCACCACATTTCCCAGAGTCTATATTGAAATAAAATACATCTTAGAGCCCTCAACATACAACAGAATGCCAATTTCGAGTGACATTGGGCGTGGGCACAGGCTACAATCAATTCGTGATATCATGGTAGTCTGGCACAGGCAATGGAGGGCAGTTGGCGCACACCTGTTGGGCCACAGGGACAGCAGCATGTCAACTTCAGGATATGAGTTGTCTTCTGTGAACTTCCCTTTTTGTGGACACTAAGACGCAGACGGGTTCTAATGGGCCCTCTGCGCGCAGTTTTTGTACACTTAGTGTATAAACTTGTCATCATATTGTGCAATTCAAGTCTGTTGTGTGGAGGGGGGTACGACTATTCACTCATGGCTTGCTGTCTGGTGGCGAGGATGGAATCATTGTCTTCTATGGTGCAACCTGCCAGATTCTTGTGGATACCTTGAAGAGTGGCGTTTACATGGTCCCTTTCCTGTTCCCCTGAACATCCCCATCTGGAAGGCTGCGAGTGACAAGCCCCCACCTTTGCAATGTTGTGGCTGACATCGTACACCACATGCATGTCCAAGTCATCCGGCATCGAGTCGAACATCTTGGCGAAAGCCTGGCGGCACAAGAAGGTCATCGACGTCCTGTTCACCCAGGCGTAATTTGCAGCGCAGGACATTGCGGCCATGTAGTTCTGGCCCTCTTGGGAATTTATTCTGGCACATGCGAGTTGCCGATCGTTGGTGTGGATCCTGTCCCTGGCCATGGCCTTCTCCATAGCCACCAGGGCGTCGGTTGCAACTTGGTGGCCCAGCCCACGGCTGCCACTGTGGATCATGATGCACACCTGCAGGTCCGCAGTTTTGTAGGTTAGCATTGGGCCCACTGGGAAAGATCAGGATATGGAGCCCTCATCGATGGACACAGCATTGGCAGCAAGCCCATCCCAAGAATGCGTGGGCACTGGCATCATGGCACATTCTATCACGATGTCTATGGCAGAGCGCTGCAGTAGTGGACGATTATGTGCAAAATGCAATGGCACCATCTAAAACTTTCCCTGAGGATAATGATCTCGATCAAAGACGCCTGCTAGGTGAAAGGGCCATGTGCCTTGTTGAATTGAACCATGAGAAGTAGCAACATGGCAAGAGTCAACAGAGTCAACTGGAATGTTGAGCTGGGAGGAGTTGACAAATGCAATCTGCACACATTGGCATGAAAGCGCAGCGATTTGTCAAGTTGACACAAGTGCAATCAATGGCAATTCATGGATGAAGCCGATTCCTTGCCTTCAATGTCTGCAAGCCACAAGTTCCAAACACCAAGCCATGACTGCCCACCTGTCCCAGTTGGTCGATGCCCATTTTTGTTGCAGCCGAGGGGTCGAAAATCTCATCAACCACTTGAATCTCTGCATAATGGTTCCCAGCTCCAAGGGTGCCCATCTGAAAGGTTGGAAAGCAGACAGAGATGAGGGCATCAGTGACGGCACCCCATGCTCCACAATGCTGGACTCAATGGCCCAGCAACGCGCCTCCTGATATGGGGATACAGACATGCAATGCAAAATTGCGTCCACTGCCAGTCATGTTCAATTCTAGTGAATCTATACTTGTCACAGCAACACAATGCAAGCCCCTTCACCAAGCTGACGATGTTCAAGGTACCTGCAGTATATGGAACAATGACCTCCCAACACTGCAGCAGTGAGGATTGCAGCAAGGACAAATGCAACAAACCGAGCTCTTGCAACACAACGTATCCAGGAAGCAGCTTGTTGAGCAAAACGATGGCTGCTTGCAGTGGTGTCACTGTGGTGTTGTGGTACTGTCAGTGGTGTCAGTGGTGTTGTCCCACCTGTGGGAGCCCCCGCTTCTTGGCTCTTTGGCTGACCTTGGATGGATCCGCATTCAGCATACGGCCATACTCTTCACAGTGTTCTTTGTCCTCAGCCCAAGCATATCCCTGGGCAACACAACAAGCCTATGGTTTGAGTGCCTGGTATTGCAAAGGGACCATAGAACCATCCACAATCAGTTACAGACATCAAAATTGTACAACCAACATCACAGGCCAGTCCCTACAGTGTGACAATGATGTTGCCTCATTATGAGACAGTGCAGCATCATAAGGCCGCCCATTTGATCACAATCCGGGCTTCAGTGGCTTGTTCGACACCTTCTGGTGGTGTATTTGCTTCAAGGGAATGTTCATATTGCCATGAGCTTCTTCTGTTGAATATTGTGTGTCGTCCATTGTGTGTTCCCTGGTAGCACCTGTGAGGTTGTGGCCAACTCTCTTATGAAGACAAATTGCAAACACCATGAGGTGTAACCAGTCAGTGCCGATAACAAGAAAACGGCAGCTTGGGGGATCGGGCCTTAGATGAGAGTGCACAAGCACTCAGCAACACACCTCTCTCAAAGGCCATTCCATTCCCATTTCCAGGGCAGCCTCCAGGTCCTTTGCAGTGGTTGGAATGATTCCTTGCGATCCCACACCCACTGGTATATGATCAAACAGCGACTGAGCCAATTTATCCTTCACATCTTCAACGTCTCTCTCCAGCTGCAAAGAAGCAGGGAACCTTGTCATTGGACCTCAGAGCATCAACATTTGGATAGATGAACAGTTGTGGGAGGCCAGAACAGAGGCAATCAATCAACATCTAGCAACAAACAGCAAACAAATAAGAATTGTAAACAATGAACAGCCAGTGTAAATGAGCTTGCTAGGGTGCCCAGTAGACAGAGTGAGCAGCCACTTTGTTGTGATCATTGTTGTTGACGACTGGCATCAGCTATTAAGCGGCAAAGCCCTTCAAAACTGCCAAGGCATAGTGGCTAAAGTGCTACAGCGGAGGCCCCAGTACAAAATACAGTACACAAGCAAGACCTTCCCTGCAGTGACATTGGCATTGTGGACTGTTGAATGTGTTGATGGTTGGAACTCATGGAAGGCAACAACGCAACGCACTGGGTGGGATGTTGGACTCACCAAGTTGGTCCTGACCAGCCTGACCCCACAGTTGATGTCAAACCCGACGCCTCCGGGAGACACCACAGCCTCTGGATTGTTCATGTCGAAGGCAGCCACATTGCCGATTGCAAAACCATAGCCAGCGTGCACATCTGGGAGTGCTATGGACCTCTGGACATCGACAACCATGGGTCATACCGCTTGTTCATGGTTTTGGCACAAGCTCTCAAGACCACTCCTCTCAACAGCACTGCTGCAAGCCAGCGTTGATACCACAGTCAAGGTGCACGGCAATGAGAAAGAGGCCAAAGCAGTGCACTTTGGTCCGAGAGAGCGCCACCTCATGTCCTCAAGTGCCTATTTCCCATCTTCCATTACATAGGAAAAAGACCACCCCTCTCAACAACACTGCTGCAAGCCAGCGTCGATACCACAGTCAAAGTGCACGGCCATGAGAAAGAAGCCAAAGCAGTGCACTTTGGTCCAGGAGGGCGCCACCCCATGTCCTCAAGTGACCATTTCCCATCTTCCATTGCATAGGAAAAAGTTACAAAGGGAGGTACCCGCTGTAAGATGTGTGTGCAGTGAATCAATACGATCGCACAGGGCAGCCACCACAAAACCAATACCACTTATGCCTGGCACCAATTCCTGTCCCTAAATCACCTCCTTTGCTCCTCCCAATGCAGGTTGGAGCAACCAGTTGATCGAATCCACATGATGAAGTCATTTCAGCACAGTGGAAGGTGTGTATGTATGCCCTAAGGATGGCAAATACATGTGGACATTACGTGAACAACCAGGAAGAGAGACAAAGAATGTGTGGTCCTGAAAGTGGCAATCCAGGTGCACACACCAGTGTTCACACTGGGTAGGACATGGAGCTTTGGAGGTTGGAAATGGGTTTGGATTTGGACTTTGGCAAATTGTAGATGTTGCATGCTGGACAGTACATACGTAGACACACTTTCTTCATCGCCTTCCAGATGCAAGGATAGTTCTGTGTCACTTCATGTCACTGCAACCAAACGTTCTACACAAGCAAGCAAATCCTTCAAGTGAGCTTCTCGTTTGGGTCTCGTGTTGGCTGATAAAGCTGACACTGAATCAAAGAACTCACCTTCACAATGCCTGGTAATGCAGACACATTTGCAAGCTGCTTAACTGCTGGGAGGAACCCCCCAACCTGTGGAAACAGAGACCCATCTTAGCAAGCAACTCTGCAAATGTCACCACACATCCAGCAATTCTCCAACTGAAATAGCCTTGAGACCCAAAATTGTGTCTTGCAGACAAATGAATGGTTGGTTGCAGCATCTCAAGGATTCTAAAGAAAAGGCATGCAATGCAGTTGGCATCGCTCTCCTTTGAAAACTCTCAGCACTCATTTACTGCTAGCAGAATTGATGTGAAAGGTTCCAAATGCACCAGAAAATTATGCAAGAGCACCAGGAATGAACAGTAACTTGAACACTCCAACCTACCCAAAGCTAAGAGCAGGGTGCAGCTTTGCAAAAACAATATCTGCAGGATCAGCCACAAATCCAGGCGCTGGCAACGAGAATCACAGGCAACGCATCACACAATGAATATCCCTTTCCCAAGGTTTTGGTCCTCTTTACTGTGCTGTACACACAGTGCAGCAGCCTCCAACAGCATCAAGGTCTCAGAACAGAAAGAACAGATCTTTGAAACGTCCAGAGCCATCGACAATCGGGATTGCCCCAAACCATGGATTTGAAGATAATCAGGCCCCATCTGAGAAACGAGACGACTGCAGGCAATGTGGCAGGCATCTCAGCACCCCATCCATTCAAGCCAGCAAGCTTCTCATGCATTTACGGATAGCAGATTTCCCTTGTCAAATGCCACACAGGCAAGCATGGTGCACTCAGCAGCGCTGAGAAGGACAGTGTTAGAGTCTGCAAAGCAGTAAAAGCTACTACCATTTGGCTGTTGACTCATCGTACCTCGCCTTTTTCACAGAACTGCTGAAGCTCCTCGAACAGGAGACCCTTGAGGCTGTCATTCACATAAAATGTACCCTCCACATTCATGTTGTTGACAAACCCCTTGCGCACCACATATTGGCATGGGCTCACTCGTTCTATGAATGACTTCTCCTGGATGAGAGAACAGCACACCAATCTGCGATGTTCAGACGCCACTCATCAATTGGTGCTCTTCATTCTGGGCTGAAGAGCGGGCTTTGGGGATTCCCAACCCAGGCATGCATTGGAGCAGATAAGCATTTAGACCAATGCTCCAGTTCCACCTCGTGCCATCGCCTGCAAGGTGCAAGGGCGGTGTCTTGTCGAGGGTGCACATACATCGCCTATGAATCTCGCCGACTCAGGCAGTGTGGCACAACGCGGACGCAGCACGGCCGTGTTCGAGTCAGAAAATGCAGCCTTGCTCTGGCTCAGATGGCCACGTCGGGCCGGTTTTCCAGAATGCGCGTATCGCCGCGGAACATGCTGTCATACCTGCGCGAATGTGCGCCCCATGTTGACACCGTTTTGCGGCACACCGGCCGCGACACCGCTCCTCTGTACTCAAGATCCAGCCGTGACCTGCGTGGCCGACTGGCCGGGTTTCTTGGGCCCAGCGTTCTGACTTGCACAGGAAAGGAAACTGGGCTCCAGGACCGCCGGGCTCGCGCCTTTGAGTGCAGTTGAATCAAGTCGAAACACAAGCACAGCCAAAAAAGCAATATCCAAAAAGCAATGTCCAAAAAAGCAATATCCAAAAAAGCAATGTCCAAAAAAGTATTATCCAAAGAGCACACCACTCTCTCCCTCATTGTCTGGGACCCTGCATCGGCCCCTGCTGGAAAAGGATCCCATTGTGTTTTACGTTTTGCGGGGGAGCTCCTTGCTTAGATCAACATGCAATACATTGTAATTCCAAAAAAAGAAAAGCCAAAGCATACTATCACCCATGACTGCGGTAAAATGGTGTCACCCGCCATTTCCTCCTTGCGGAGGGCGATGGCAGGTGTTGATTACACATGATCGCTGATTGGCTTCCGGATATGAGGTGGTCTGGATTGGCGGAAGGGCGCCGTATGTTCATACTGCGACCGGCACCCACATGCATGTTGCAATTACATAGAAAGAACATATCACTCAAAGTGCTGACAATCCCCACCGTCACAGCTTTTCCCCTCGGTGATTTCCTTAGCAGGAAAGAGCAGATTTCAATATTCCTCTATATTGCCCTCGGCACACGCATCAGACGAACACCTATTATGCCTCATCAGAGTGACACAACTGTCCAGACCTGTCACTTCACTGCCGTTGAACACTCGATGACGCTACAATGCGGGGCGTGAATTGGAAGGTCGACGACGCCACGCCACCCAGTTTCGTGGGGCATGGAATTGATGACCATCTCTCTATATCAGAGCATATCTGGGCGTTTTCCTTGGCATCCGTTTGCAGCATGTGTCTGACCTCAATCGCTACCATGAGCATGGCAAAATTGCTGTCAGAGTATATAATCAAGTTCATGATGGAAAAAATGGCTCCAAAGCCGACTGCAGCCTGTGGAGCATGGCCCACCTATTGTGTGGACGTTGCCAGCAATGACAAATTGAATGACACCTTACCGGCAACGAGGAAAGCGATGTATCGGTCATTGGAAGCGTCACTGCTGGACTCAGATGTGCGGACCACGCCAGTTGGCTGGCGGTCTGAAGGGACCCCACGATGCTGGGAAAGCGATCCGACCACACCGTGGGGCATTGCCGACAAGACTCACATTGCACTACATCCGAGTTGCTTCAAAGGGGGGGGAGCGGCTGCAAGGAGGAAACACCATGGTGGCAATGTGCAAAAGTCATTGGCAGATTTGGTGCACGGGGCCCTGCTTTGTCATGTGGGGCGGAATGGCCACCACACAACTGTACAACGCCCTTGCTGTTGTGCAGTGCTTCGCTTTGTCCCCCGGATGAACGGGCGAGGTCTGTTCACATTTGGCAAGCGCAGCCAGCCACACAATATCGATTTTTCCGATATGCTGCAACCAAGCCCCATGGAATGCATCGTCGTCCACCCAGCGTACACAGAATACAAACAATCGAAACCTAAAATTTTCTCCACCAGTTTTTGACTCCTGCCGCCACACCCCGACAGATGCGCAACTGATCTTATCCCTCCGATGTCATTGCCCACTGTCACCTTCAATGAACACGCATCGGGCGGAAGCAGACACAGCAAAACCAACTTTGCAGAAGAGAACAGTGCCACTCCCAAACTTGAGAAAACAATAACTGCATGATGAAGCGGTGCCCATCCCATCAATACCGCCAGCCCACGATTCTAAACTATCAGCAAAAGGCGCCCAAACTCGCCATGACATCGCCGCAACTGTGACCAACAGAGATCGATGCAAAATCGTTGCAAAAACGTGTTGTTATGTGCCTTTTCCGCCAGTCATGCCTCTGCAGCTGTCCCCACATGCTGCACCCCACATCCCAACTTTAACCCATCTGACTCTGCACGTTTGCCAGTGTCAACCAACAGTTTGCGTGCATGTGCAAATCTGCTGCTCAACCAAAGAGTTCTTGCACAAAATCCCCATACTTGGTTCCGAAACTGGACGACTTAGAATGGGAGAAGCCTGTTATCCTTCCTTCATTTAGAGCCAGGGAGGAGACTCGTGATCTTGGCCTGCATTGCAGTCCCATGCAACCAGCTCAGTGGACTGGAGCTTGCAGCAGGTGCAGTGGCAAACCAACAAGTGCGAATCGGTGCAATTGTTTGACTATCCCCAAAATTTGGCATGCAGATCATACAGCACGGAAAACCCAGTGCCATACCCAAACCCAGTACCTAAACATCAATCAAACTGCAATGTCACATGCACTGTGCCGACTGCAAGCAATTACATCAGTGCTTTCAGCGTAATTACTGGCTTAGAATGTCCTACACCGCCAAGTGGGTGTCTGGGCAGCATTTCAGCCTGTGGCAGGCAAGGGAGAGACAAGTTGCCCAGTCAACTGCCAGCGGGGTGCAGCCAACAGTGTTCTTAACACAGGACTGTGTCTGCACCCAAAGCATGGGGAACTGGAAATGAGACGCATCCAGCTCATCGCGGTTGATTTCATAGACAACCTTGTGTCATAAACGCAGTGTTCAACGTTGACCAAAAGAAAAATATCACAAAGGTAGACAATTCTGTACATATACAATTACTCCAAGCTTGGGAATGATTAATGGATCATTCACCATGGAAAATGACGTGTTCGCTATTGGCGAGATGTGTTTCCAGATCAACAACCACACCCCCACATGTACAGAAGACAGGTGCCAGGTCTCTGTCTAGCAAAAACAGAAGTGCTGCTAGAAGTCCACTATCAGCCAACTTGCAAGGTTGCTGGCGAAGCCAAAGACGCCTGTGGATGACTAACCAAAAGAGAAACCTGCAGCGTTGTCTATCATCCCCTCACGTGTTAGCGCAAGAGCAAGTTTATGCCAACGGAGAGATGCTGCCGAAGCTGGACAACAAAACCCACCACAGTCTGCTCGATATCTGCAGAGATGTCCTCTTTATCCACAAGATAACGGATCAACAAGACGGGTCCCAGGAGCACCCCGAGCAGCTGTGCAGGGAACCCCAGAAGCTGTGCAACAGATACACAGGTGGTCAGTAAGCAAAGCCTGCAGCAGTCGATGGGCAAGCAGGAAGACCTGCAGGAATGTGCTTTGTTCTGTGGCAGAGTTCATTGGCAATTGTGCAGGATGCGAACGTGAAATGTCTGACAACAGCGCTCATTCATCAAGCATGCACACTGGACGAAAATGATTTTTAAAGCAGCAGCAGCACACAACACCCTCGTTGACATAATCCGATTGCCGATGACAGGACCCTGCCATCCTCCAGGCCTTTGTATCTATGGCAAAACGTGTCCTTCTGAAATTCGGTAGAGTTGCATCGGCAGTTGGCACAGGACTGCCTCATTGCACACTTATCTGGTGGACGATTAGTTGCTAGTTGTTTCATTGTCGATGCTGAGCAGATACTCAGAAGAAACAACTTACGATGTCCAGGATGGGTAGGTGGATCAGCCACTCAACCAATAGGAAGGCAACAAGCGATCCAACACCATATCCGATCACCAGGGGCTTGTTCTCCACTTTCTCGAACTGCAGAACACCAGCAGGGTCAATACTCAACAGAGATCCCTTGAGCTTGCAGGATGCACGAAATGTGGCAGACTGAAGCATTTTCAGGCCTACGTTGGTATTTGCGCGCCTACGTTTTTGGCCTACGTTGGTATCTGTTCAGTGCGTGACTGCAACCTCTGAGTTGCAGAAGATGTGTCTGGGCAACCACTGGACACCCTCATTCTGGCGTAACGCGCTCTAAGTCCTGGGACAAGAACAAAGTGCATGGCACATGGCTGCCAAAGTGCAACCCGTGTTTCTTTGAACACTGGCAGTTTTGGTCTAACCTTGTCAGCTAATTTCATAAGCAATTCGTCGAAATCACCACCCTCCTCAGCCCTGACGACGAGCCGCTCTCCTGCAACGAGCAAGTGCAGAAGACCGAGTCAACTATGCAGCGACACTTCCTGCAGGCTGTGCTGCGAGCTACTCCTGCTGCCCAACGGAATTTCTCGATCGCCTTCCACGGCATGGAAAATAATCGCGCACGACGCTTGATCGGGAGAGAGTTGCAACTACAGGACGCTTTTCCTTCCGCAAAAGATAATAGGCACCAATCTGCAGCGATGCCCGCTATCATGTCCTGCGTGGTGCAGAGGCCACAGTGCTCAATGGAAATTCCTTTAAAAAGTACAGACTCGACAATGGTCATGTGCGCACACGCACGTGCTGCCCTCATGGAAGTGCGTCAATGAGCGTGGAACGCTCCTGAGGCACGACAACAGATCAAAACAGGGTCTTCAGTGCTGAACGATGAAAGCAGAAAGCGGCAGGGCTGATCGGCTAGATCCGCATCGATCGGCTCCAAATCCTGTGGATCAGCGCCAACGTACACGACAACAAAGCAGACTCCTTTCCGTGCACACCGACAAGGAGCCAACGCCCGTTGAACCTCTGCGTCGCGCATTCGTTCGCCACACAGCGCGACCGGCGCTCCCAAACCAGACGCCGCGGTCCGGCTTTCAAGACTCCGCGTCACACCGCCGGGGGGCGTGGTCCGATCGCTGCGCCAAGGGGCCCGGCTCCCCCCCGCGGCCACCAGCCGCCGGCGCGATCATCTTCAAAGAAAACAGAAACATCCGCTTCCATTTCCAACGCGTCGTCTACACGCGACGCCTCCGGCTCTTCGCCAAGAGTCGGGCCCCCCCGGACGCCGGCCGTCCCCGCAAAGATCCCAGCGGCCCCAAGGCCCCGGGCCCACGACCGAAAAGCGCATTTCCGCGCCCCGCGATCCCGCCCACCTGTCTTTCTGCCCACACCGCGCGGCGCCCGCGTGCTCGGGCCCAACGCCGGCCTGGCCGGCAGGCAGCCTTTGGAGCCCAGGCCGACGGCCCTTGCAGGGAAAGCACTTGCCCTTTGAGTGATCGACGTCGCCGCCATTTTCTTTGCTCAAAGCGCTGCAGCAAGCTCGGGGATGGGTGGGTGGGGGGGACGGGGCAGGGCGGTGTCGTGGAGGGACAGGCAGCTGGGAGGTCTTTGCACGGCTCGAGCGCCGACCGGGTCGTGCCCCGTGGCGCCCTGACGCTGGGCGGGGCTGGATCCGATGTGGAGGCGCGCTGGAGATGGATTGGGCCCTGGCGATCCAGATCCGGGGTTGGCGGTGGTGGGGTCACAGTACTCTGGGACACCGGCTGCCTGCCTCGGCGGAAGGTGGGAGAATGAGCGCGGCGCGAAATGAGGGCTGTGTGAGACTCGAAGCAGGACTTTCCTTCCGTATTCCCAATCGCATCCCTGGACGCTGCTTCCGTGCTGTTGGGCGCGCCGCCAACACGGGCTCTTGAAAGGGGGTCGCCTGACGGCCATCCCCATCAGCTCCCTTTCGGCCGCCGGCCGGCAGGGAGCGGACGTGGCCCTGCCAGCCTTGCGGACCCTCTGAAGGCCTCCAGTCCGCGACGGGGCCAACCGCAGCAGCAGCGGATAGGACAGCTTGCTAATGTCTTGTTAATGTCTGCGCCTGGAACATAGAATTAGCGATACAAAACTAGCGGCATGGAATTAGCATTGGCTCCAAGCCATTGGAATCCATTGGCTCCGTTAGCAAGCATTGGAATCCATTGGCTCCGTTTGGAATTGCTTGGCATGGAATTAGCAGCGAGGCATGGGCGAAGGCGCTCGATCGATACGAATGGCGTGGGGCGAACGATCCGATCGTGGACCAGCTGGGGCTGAGACTCCCTCCTGCCCATGTACGGCTTTTGGGGTGTCCAACAGTGGCCTCGGACATGGGTCAGTGGCGATGTGTGGGGGGGGGAAGATGAAACAACTTGGTCCGTGTTTTGTATTCAGCGCTGCGCTGTTGCCGAAACAGCAAACACATGAGTGGTTTCTGACCCATGACGCCGCACCATCGCTTCAGCGGCTTGCCTGCCAACTGGGGAAGTATGAAATGGGGCCGGGGGGTTGGAAAAAACTTTGCAGAGTCAGTTTGCGATGTGGTGCGCATCGCCAGAGCTGAATGAGGAGGAATCATGACGGTCTACCGAGTGGCCTTGGCCCTGTGGAAACCTCATACCTCGGAGATCTGACAGCTCAAATCGGCAAGCACCGATCACAGATCTAGCTTTTCTGAACAAATTTTTGTGAGTTGGCCCACCCCGCTGTGGAAAGCAAGCTAAACTAAGAATGCCTCGTTGATCGGGCTGCGGACTATGACTGCTGAAAACTGCACTCCACCATGGCTGTTGCAGAGTCTCCGATGCAGTTGCTGATAGGATATGCATCTTTTCATGTTCTGCGATGATGAGTTGACCATGATCCCGGCTAGCTTTGAGCCTTTGGGCATTGAAGAGACGCGGGTTTCCCAGTGGACTATCTGGGCAATGCATGCTTCATGTGGAGTATTGGCTAGGAAGAGGCTTGGGCCTAGCAGGCGCATCGATGAATCACCCACTGGAACTGATTTCGACGGTCAGTCGAGGGGCAGTGGGACACCTCTACACTACTTCAGGGAGCTGAACGGACAGTCCTTCCTTATGGAGCAGCAGGACAGACCCAGGTTGCATATCCGCCTCGTCGATATGTCAGACATAACAAAATAGCTGTGCGTTCAATTTGGCTCCTAACTTCTGCGGCTGCCCAAAATGCCGCGATGCTAGAGAAGTAGCAGTCAGGTCACTGTGTATTGAATTGCAAGTGCACAAAAAATTTGCCCAAAGTCCTTTTGCAAGCAGTTCACCATGCACCTCCCAGTGCGTTTTTGGATTCTTGGATTTTTCGGAAGTTTCCCTGCACGGGTTGGCTTCAGATCAATCTTGCTGTCTTCACTTGGGTAGAGATTTGATGGACACATCACATGCCACGTCAAAGCAGCAAAATGCTGAGAGCAGCAACGCTTCCCACAGCGTCGGGTGCTTGCCACTCGATCTGAACATGTTGAGGACTGGCTGTGCAACTCCGGTATTGCACTCAAACTGATTCTTTTGCTTTAACACAGTCGAGATTGGCAGCTGTGTGTAATGCTAGCTGTGGACGTGGCTCGAGTGGCTTTTCCTTTAGTGCATCCCGCGCCTTGCACGCCTTCACTTTAAATCAGGCCATGGCCCCAGGGAACCCTCAACCGCTCCTGCCAATGGCAGTGCGCATCGCACAGCAGACCCGCAGAATGTTGAACTGCAGTGAGGTATGCCAGAAGCTTTACTTTACCAACTTGCCACTGCCCCTTTGGCGACCAATCTTTCATCACCAGTTGCAACTCGGGATGCCACCCATCCAACCCTGCATAACCGTTTGTCCCTGGTTGATTCTTCTGTCTGCCATAATGTCCAGCGGTTGGCTCAATTTACCCGATGGGTGTGGTTCAATAATAAAGGGACAACGCTTTTTAACGTTGAACTTCCAAATCATCGTTTGAGGGGTGGGTGCAGACCCGTGATACCGGTGATTGCCGTGGTTTACAGTTGTAAGAACAGTTATGACTAAACCCTTGCACCTTGCAGGCGACGGCAGGTGGACGAGCCTAAAACGACATACCAACAAGGCACAAGGAATTAGAGATTGCAAAAACGAAGACCCAATCCAAGCACACGAATGGGCTCTTTACGCCTGGCAACAAATTAAAAAACAACAAAATAAAAAACAACAAATGTAAGAAACAACGTCATGCTTGGAATAAGGAAGCAATTCGAATGGACCCCGGCGGCTCAATATTAATTAATCCAATCCACATTTTAATGGGGCAATCTTGAGAAGACCCCGCACGCGCCTCCTGGCGTGAGGCGGAGCCGCTCCTGACGCCACCAGCGCAGGCGGACCCAGCGTAGCGCGCCCGCCCCGTCCCCCTTCGCTCCACTTCCCCTTCCCCCCAGGCCAGGCCACTGGCGGAGGGTGCAATGCCGCTCTCTGGCGCGCATTTCGCCCTTTCCGCCATCCCCGCCAATCCCATCCCCTGCCCCGTGACCTTCACCCCGCTTGGCCTTGCCCGCGGCCTCCCCGCCCATTGCCTCCCGCGGCGCGGCGCCCTGCGCCCTCCCCCGCGCGCCGGCGCAGGGTACGGCGTGTCCCCGCGGGCCGCTACCAAGGATGAGGTCTACCAGGGCGTGTACGGCCCGTGGAGCATCGAGCCCAGGGACGAGGCAGAGGTGGCGGTGTACAGGGCGGGCCTGTCAGTGGCCGCCCTGTGCCTGGCGCTGGGCACGGCGGCGGCTCTCGTGCCGGAGGCCTGGGACGCCCACCTCGCCGCGGCCGGGCTGCTCAACCCGCTGTGCCTGGCCGGGGGGGCGGCCATGGGGGTGTCGCTGATCTTCATCCACATCTACGCCACGCCCCTGAAGAGGTTCCTGCAGGCGCTGTGGGGGGCCGGCGTGGCCGGGAGCGTGTACCTGATGCTGACCCAGCCCGAGCCGCTGCCGATCTACGTTGCGCACAACCCGGGGGCCGTGTGGCTGGTGGGGCCGTTCTTCGCGGCCGTGACGGGCTTGGCGTTCAAGGAGGGGCTGTGCTACGGCACGCTGGACGCCGCGCTGCTGTTTTTCTTAACTCCAGCATTTTTGCTGGGCCACCTGTCGGGGGCAGCGTCGGAGGGGGTGGAGCGAGGGCTGGCGGTGGCGATGGTGTTGCTTTGTGGCGTGTTTGCCGCGAGGAAGTACAGCCAGCCGGTGAAGGACGACATCGGGGACAAGTCGGTGTTCGACTTCCAGAAGCTTCCGCCTCAGGAGCAGGAGGCCCTGCTGAGGAAGCTGGAGGCCGCGGGGCGCGACGCTGAGTGAGCGGTGCGTGTGAAGTGAATGGAGCAGCAGGAGGATGGCCTGCCTGGATGTCCCTTGTGGAAGGATACCTCCAAGTTGGCAGCATACATTTTGCTGCGGATGGCTGGCCAAGCGTTGCGTGGTAATCCCAGTTTACGCCAGTGGATTGATCTCTGCCATAGTATTCCCAACAGAGGAAAAAACAATGGGTTTTTGGATGTACGTGCCCATAGTGAAGACATTTGAACATGGACAAGAAAATGAAGTGCAACGTTTCGGGATTTTTGTGGACACCATGGTTCCCTTCTTGTACAAAATAGTGTTGTGATCGGCTCCGTTAGACTTGGCACAAGGCCCCTCGCAGTTTGCAAGCACTGGCCACTGTCTGCAGAACGAAAACGAGGACCGAGTTTAAACATCGGACCCCAGCGAGCAACGAACAAGCAGGGATAAAATTCCATGAAGAGCAGAGCACTCTGTTGGAGACATCCCAGAACTGTCCAATCGGCTGTTGTCCTCGCAGTGCTGCTGTCCCGCCCATCCCTCACATGCTCAATGGCCCCTTCGCCGCCTCAGGCGAACAAGCAACGACACAATAAAATTCACCACAAGGGCGGCAGTCCTGAACGCCATCGTTTCTGTCTGTTGTCCCCGCAAGGACATCTCCCTCTCTGCCCGCCACGAAGTTTCCAGCAAGGTGCCGTGCAGAGTCCCCTGTGTCCTGGACTCGGGCTTTGCGATCCTCTTCCGAGGTGGCATGTGTGCCCCAGAGTCTTCCTTTCCCCTAAGCCCACCCCTGCGGGACTTGCGAGGTCGGCTGTGGGCCGGCATCGCGAAATCGTTCGCCGTGAGCATCAGGTCGTGCATTGTGGACACATCGCGAACAAACTTGGCCGATTTTAAAGTGTGGGTGGATCTTCCACTGTTGGCCGTGCCACAGGGTAGCACCCGCGTGGTGTTCAGCAAACCCCCCGTCGGTTCACCACATGCCACTGTGCCCTGCTCTTCGAATGCTGCAACGAGCTGCGCTCGGGACGCCTTGGGTGAGTGGCGCGTCCTCTGAATGCGCCGCATGCTCTCGGTGCAGTCGCTGTTTGCCCGCCGCAGCAGCATCAGGGGCGAGTGCTGTTCCGTCATTCCCCCGGCGAGCATGGAGGCCCATAGGTCCACCCTGGAGGGTGCTGCCTGCAGCGGAGAGCCGCGGTCGTGGCCCTCCCCATCCATCTGTAACACCCCAGCCCTCGATGTGCTGTGGCACCGCCCCACCGGGCAGAAGTCGCCACCCGATTCCCACACAGTGGCTTCTTGTCTGAACCTTATCACCCTCTCGTCCCAATTGGAGCTGGCATCCGAAGCCGAGTCGTCGCAACGTGCCAGGCGCTCCCCCTGAGGCCGGCTCGATTCGCAGTCGCTGGCTGTGGGATTGGCATCCTGGGTGGTCGTCTCTGTTCCTTGCCCTGCTGTGCCAAGGGCATCCCAGAATTTCGATTGCATGGCCTGCTG